GTTAATTGGATTCTATAAATTGTGCTTAAGTGTTAGTGTGTGCATGTGCATGATTGTGTGTCTCTGTGTTGCCCTGCGAGAGACTGGTGACCTGTCCAGGGTGAACCCCGCCTCTCGCCTACAGACTGCCAGAGATAAACACCGCGGCCCCACCACGACCCTGACAAGGACTAAGCGGGAGAAGATGGATGAATTAATCATATATGTTTTAGAAATTGCTTCTTAGAGAAAAATAAGATTGAATTTGTGTCGTTTCAAAAAATAAATATTAAAACCTATTAAGGTTTAGAGGCAAAGCTGTATTTGTATTTAAAGATTTCTAGTTGAACTTTTATTGTTTATTTTTTGTTCGTTCACAGACATCACTGTATCATGCAAACTGATTTCACCAAATTTCAACCATAGAGTTTTAGCATTTATAACTTGTAAAAGAATACAAAAAAATGCAGTAATAGTTTCACACAAAGTCATTTCATCTGTTAATGATCTTATAATGTAGAAGCAAACTGTGACCCATGTAAGGTTTGCTTAAAACATTGTGCAATAAGCAGAAACGACCTGGGAATGTTTGCAGTCATCTTTGCTGTTAGTGTTTGAATAATTCCTGCCACAATGAACAGATGTCTTCTAGTGTTATTATGATCTTTGAACAGGTTTATGATTGGAATAAAAATGCTATAAACATGATTCAGTTCGACTACTTTAAAGGAGAGCTGTGTGCTGCAGCTCGTCAGCAGCAAATTCATTCCACCTTCTTGAAGACTTGCTTAGCAACGATGCCTTGAACTCTCATTTCCTGCAGAGAACAGATGGGAAAGGGAGGGGGGTGTTTAGGAATGGTCAGTAAGAGAGTTTGGCATGTTAGAGTTAAATGAGCGACACCCCACAAACTTGGGATTGTTTTCAAACTCTCCTTTCTCTCCACAGTGTCTCCTCGTATTCTCACCCAGTAATCCGTCACTCTTTCTTTCAAGGCGCACTTATCTTTTCTGCCCTCCCCCCTCACTCATTTTGGAACAAATCGTCAGCCCCACACTGTTCCCTTCCCCTGCCAGTTCTCCCTATAAAACCCACAAACCTAAATCTTGATCCTCACCGGCATTTCTTTTCCAATTCCCTCCAGTTTAGCGTCAACAACAGGTTGTATTGTCCTCACCCTAACAAGGGTATTAACAAAACAATGCTGGTTGTTTAAAATGTCTCAAAAGCTGAAATCTATTTAGAGAAAAATAAATCTCTGCTGCAAGGATGGGTGCACAATGGAGCAATGTATGACTTCCCTCGTTTGCATGTCCTCCCTGATTAACCATATCAACTGTAGCATCATTTGGCTCAAACTTTCCTTGTTCCGTCTCCCTCCTTCCTCCAACCCTCCCCCATCTCTAGAGCCCATTCATCCTCACCAAATGGAGCTTGTTGCCTTCCAGCCAGTGGGTCCAACCTCGACCTTCTTTCTCCCCTCTCTGTACGCAAACAAGTTTGTCTCCTTCCCAGCTCACTGTAGTCTGCAAACAGCACAAAAGTCAGAGAAAACCATTTACAAACACTTTACATGGTCAAGAAATGTTTGATTCAAGTTTTTTCCTTCTGGAAGTAAGGCAGTTTATAAAACTGTTTATGTGCTTTATTAAGATTTTATGTAACAAAACAACACAAATGTGAAGTGGAAGGAAAATGATAGATGGTTTTTTGCAAATCGAAATCTGAAAAGATTTGAATGTGCATGTTTAAAGGGCTTTGGGGTAAGGCTCTAACTGCTTGAATGAATAAAACACTTTATATTGCTAAAAAAAGAAATTTTGCACATTATATCCCCAACTACAAAACACTCTGTTGGGACAAATAAATCATAAAAGCTCCAGTTAAAGTTTCCCAAGAGTCATGAAGCGGACACAGCCACCATTTAGTAAAGTGGGCATTGGTCAGATTGATACCAAAATTAAACTCTGTAACCTGAAAAAAGATTTAGGTGTCAAAAGTCAGCCCTTTATTGTTAAAAATGGTGGTGGTTGCATCATGCTGTGGTTGAGATATTTAGCAGTAAAGACAGAGAAGCTATTTAGTGCTTTTGTGGTGTAGGGAATTATATAAGGCAGCCCTGGAAGAAATTCTGTTAGGGATGCTAAGGCTGATTTTCAACACATAGTTACAATGGAAAGCTTTATTTAGGAGCTTATGCATCTGTTATAATGGCCTTGTTAATGTTTAGCCTATAAACTACAACGGAACATTTGTTAAAACACTCGAAAATTGATTATCAGCAGCACTTCGTCTGAGCTTCAGTTATAAATTATTTTGTTAGGATATTTGCAACAACAGATATGCTTCAAAAAAAGAAATGAAAGTTGTATATCCTGTGAAATGTAACAGCGCTGAAAGTTATGCATCCTGCTTTCTCTCCACAATTAGGCACTGCTTTGTGTTGCTCTGAATCCTAAGGAGGATCAAGGAGTTTTACTGAGTTATAACTCAGTTATAACTGGGCCATGTGGTTAGAACAGCAGGTGCATGGGCGGTTCTTGAGAGGGGCCAATGGGGGCCAGTGCCCCTGTAAATCATGTCCTGGCCCCTGTACTGAAGAAATAATACTTGAAAGAAATTTTAATGATATGTGCTGGAACAGACATGGTTACTGATAGGTCCTTTGGATCTATTACATTATTTTTCTTTACAAATTGTGTTTTACCGATTATTTAAAAACAATAAGGTGATAGTTTCAGTGGTATTGAGATAGGATCCCAGTTTTTATCTGCCAAATTGTTTTTTTCAAAAAAAAAAAAAAACTCAAAATTTTACAGCTGAATTTATCAGTTTTTCTTGAGTTCTAATTCAGATTTTATAGAAATTTGTCATTTTAACTTAAGTAAAAAATATGTAAAATTCCTAAACTATGAATGTATATTGACCTCATAAGAAATAGATTTTTTATTAAAGCTATTTGAATAGAAATTTCACTTGATGCAGCTCTCTTAATATATTTGAATCCCTTGCTCTGTTTTTTATTTCATGCTTTTCTGTGCCCCCATGAAAACACTCTGGCCCCCTCCTGCCCCCCTGGTACATTTGGTCTAGAACCGCCACTAAGCAGGTGGGATGATTCTCATTGGGAATTGAACAAACAAAGCAAAGTCCTGCAACAAAGAGCATGCCCAGACCCACACCTGGCAGGTACGGCCATCCACAGGTCCCAGGTCCTCTGTGAATTCTTTCCCGATGGTGAAGTCCATGTTGAAGTTCTTAAAAGTGGTGAGGGTGCGAATCTTCATGGCTCCTGTTGCTGGGTCATGGGTGATCTCCTTAGTGGGCTTCAGCAGACACACAATTTTCCTCAGGGCGATATTGATATCTGATGAGAGGGACATTTGATTTTAAATGATACTTCTATGGTTGCTATAACAGAAGAGCTTTAAGAATAAAAGCAAAGTGAATGAGTGAGTGTGCGGTCAGCCAGAGGACAAGATTTCATCCCACTAATGTAGTGCTGCCTGTGAATAAGGATAGCCTGCAGAAATAAGCATTATCCTAATAGATTATCTCACATGCAACATGCAGCAAACATGCAGAGCTGATTGAAGCATCAACAGTTTAGTGTTTTAGATTAGTTTTCTATGTCTGTGAAATAATGAAGAAAATCATACCCAAAGCTGCAAGATATGCGTCCATATTCTCCATTTCCACCAAATGATAAGTCCCGGAGTAATCAGGTTTCGACATCTTTCTGATGCTCCTTCTAAAACTTAAATATGCCTTTTTTTGTTTCGGTTCTTCCCCAAATCGAGCCTCACTGTTTAGATATCAGCTTCTGTTGCGTAACCCTTTTTTTATGCAGAGAAACGCCTTTGGGTGGATTTAAAAGTAAATCTGAAACTTTTCCTCCAGCTGAACGGGCTTTAAAGGCGCAGTTATGCTCTCAGATGATCCAAAGTTGATGTATTGCAGCAACACTAATCTCTCTCACACCTGAGGCGAGCTGCTGTCTGCATTAAATAACACAGGGAGTTATCTGAATGCAGGGGGAGGTTCATTCCCCCTTGATAACTAAAGCCCGTTCCCGCAGGAATAGTGTTGCGTTCAGGCAAGCTCGGAAAAAAAGAGATGAAATTAACAAATGGGTTGATAGTGAGCCATTTACGTAAAGGCTTACAAAAAAACTTGGTGTTTTATAACGCATAAACAGTGCTCATTGATAAGAGAAATCTGAGCAAACAAAGTGATTACATCTGCTATGTTTGATCAAGTGAGATGCTGAATTCTCCAAAGATTTCCACTTTCTTTTTCCACCTCGAAGGACGCAGGGGTGCGATTGAGACCAGAACATAAAGAAATTAAATGATCCTTTAATTTACTTAGTGTTAAGCTTAGTTCTTTCAACATCCAGGGGGATCGAAGTCAGAAGCAACGTTTGCATTTGATGGATACCCAAAAATGGTTTGGAATTGAAAGATCTAATTTTATATAATAAATTCAAATGTATCTGTACTTAAAATCAATGACGTCAAGAAAAGTGCATTTTTCCACAATTGGCATCTGCAAAGACTCAGATGTTGCAACTAATCCCGGAACAGGGATAGTTGCAACATTTCTCAGTGATGAAGGTTGAAAAAATGGCTGTTATTAATAGGAATATCATTATGTACTGTATTGCTACTTTTATTGAAAAATATTTATTTGCTTTGATTAGATGACAATTAGATATTTGCCTTGATGTTCAAACCTTATATGCAACTGTCAAAGATTAATACTGACCTAAAATATAGAGGCCTACTAGTGACATAGGAGAAACACAATTTGTGAACCAATTTAATTCAAATTTCTCAGTTCACAGTATATTTATTATGAAAAAATCTAACTATTGGGAGTATTGGGCACCTAAAAATTTTGAAAACACAAAAAAGTTACATTTTTACATAGGCCTGACTGACTATAAATCCATCGCACCCCATTATTTACTTAGACATAACTAAATAATTGCATGTAATGATAGAATTGCATAATAGGCAGTTTATTTTTATATATATATATATATATATATATATATATATATATATATATATATATATATATATATATATATATATATATATATATTATATTATATTATATGATTAAACAATTTATTGTACCCTACTCAGCACATAACCACACATCTGTTAAAAGGAACAAAAAAAGACACTTGACAGTATTCCCAGACACGCAAGTTTGCATTTCCATTCATATTAGGGCTAAAATTACCCATATTAGGACTTTAGGACTTTATATAGATTTATATTAATCCTAGGAACTGCAATAATGCCAAACATTTACACAAGCCCTAATCTAAACCTAATTCACGCCATACCAAACCAGACCCCTTAGCATTAAAATTGGAACAGCCTTTGGTCTCCATAAAGCCTGTTGTCTTTAGAAGGTTAACAAATATACCAGAAAAGGTCCTAAATAGGTCATATAAAGATGCAAGCCTACAAACCTTCCGTCCCTGCTTCAATCTGACATAATATATCTATGAAAAGAACTAATGAACAGATGTCTAAAATACTGTGTTGTATTTTAATATTAGTGAGAACAGGTTCAGCAGCTGTTGCTACTGCCCCCCTTCCTGTCAAACATGACCAAACCTCATGTGCTTTCTAAACTAGGTGATCTACACATATTCTAAACCTTACTACTAAAAATTTAATTATCACTCATTTAAACCGTATGGGTTTGACCTAAATCACTATAACAGTTAAACAAAAACGAGGCTTGAGCAAAAAACTATAAAAAATTTTCCCCAATAAATCCTGAAAGATTCAGAATCTGCTTGTATTTTCCCCATTGGACTGTCATTCAACTTAGCATATGCTGTATGAGCGACATAACTCTTGCTTGCTTCTGGATAGAGGAAAAAAATGACATGTTGCAACCCTCCTTGGCCGCCTCCTCCTCTCTGCTGCTCAAATCCTATGAAGAGCCGCATTTGAGGGGGACTTCCTCTTTATCCGTTACCCAAGATGGCTGCTACAGAGAATATCCTCACATGATGATGTGTGGTTTGAGTGACTCAAATAAAATTATTTACATGTTTGGCTGGTTGGGAAAGGTCACCAGAGTAAAGTCTCCTCTCTTTGAAACTGATTTGGCAACATGACTTTGGTATGCACATCCAAATAAACCACAAAACTTCTGGAACAATGTCCTTTGAAAAATAAACTAAAAGAAAAGATGCATTCCACAAGCCAATAGCCTTATTGTATGCAAAAAAAGAACATAAAATCCGCAGTAGTTACTTCTTTAAACTGTCCAGAATGGTGGTGGTGTTGTGATGGTTTGTGCTTATCTTGCAGCTACAGGACCTGGGCAACTTACAGTTGCTGAGTTGATCACGAGGTCAGGAGACAAATTTAAATGTGTGCCACTTGTCTGACAGATAAAGATTAGTCAGTATAGGGACATCTTAACGGAAACGGCATGAATATAATCATAAATATAATGAAAAGTAAAATCAAGGTTTTTCATTTTTATCATCTACACATACCTTGTAAATTCAAGTATAAAAAACTGAACAGAAACTGAGCAACAAAACAGTAACTCCTATTATAGGCTGTATATTAAAAGCATCATGAAGTCTTAAAAAAAAAAAACACATATCCAGCAGAATGTTTAGCACATTCTTCCTTTATTTTCAACAAATACATAATCTAACCACTTATGACTTATGTCAACAATCTCTGTTTTCACTTTAAACAGTTCATTTATATTTAACGGCCTCTGCACCCCCCCACCCCCACCCCTCCCCACACACACTTATTAAAAACAGCCCTTGCATAAATATGAGGCACAGCAACCTCCCTGTTTTATCTACTTTTTCTTCACTGAACCGGTTTTCTTCTCGGACTTTGATTTCTTCATGTCTTTCTTTCCTTTTGAACAATTCTCAGAGGGATCCTCCTTGTTCCTGCAAAAAAAAAAAAAAAAGATGAATTTTAATTTCTGGAATATTAAACAGAAGGGGTCTGGGGCATAACAACAATAACAGCAAACCATGCATGAAAAGAATCAATCAAATCTGCCAGGCCAAGTATTCAGGGCTCCAACTGGGTCAGTGTGTTTAGGGTTCAGCCTGAACTGGTGAGTGTCTGTTTATAATTGGATAATTGGAACTTTGCTCAGTTGTTTATGAAAAAGCAGCTGCCAAGAGGTCAATAAATGCTTTTCAGTCAATAGGACAAACAAACTGGGGGTCTGGCTTATTTGTACAGCATAAACACTTCATTTTGCTACCCTTAAACTCCCACTTAACTTTGACACATCAATAGCTCTACCCCATCTGTAAAACAGAAACATTTAAACATGTTAAGATTATCTTACAAAAAGCCATTTAATGCTCTAAAAAGAACCAAGCACATAGAAAAACAATCAGGCAATTCTTTTTATGGCAATGTAGGATCCAGTGTTACTAAACTCTAATTAAGGACTTATAGCATACATATCTGCATTTAGTTTTTTTTTTTTTTTTTTAAACAGTTAAACAGAAGTTGCACTGTAAGGTTAAGTTTCAGACTGAGTCTTGAGAATTAAATCCTCTCAGCAGCTTTGAACACAGGGGTCTGATAAAACAGCACACCTCAGATGCTTCTAATCTATAGTTCTGGTTCAAGGTTTGTATATACTCCTCATGAGACTGAAAGTACTATTCATTTTACCCTTTAACGATTGATTTGACTAATGATTTTTTTTTTCATTTTGAAATTATTACAGTAATCAGTTTTGTTAACAAATTGTTACTCTGCAAAAACATTCTGAAAATGAGTAATAATTCTTAAAATAAGTGCATTTACCCTTAATTTGAGTAGGTAAATAAGATGATCAGCCATAGGAATAAGTATTTTTACCCCTAATATAAGATAATCAGATATTATGCACTTGAAATAAGAGATTGCAGTTTTTTTTCTTATTTTAAATGTAAATTATTCCATTGGCAAAGTGTATCACTTACCTGATCAATTTAAGAAAAAAATTACTTATTTTAAGAAAAAATGACTTACTTAGATTTACATTTTTTGTAGTGAAGCATTAAATTTGAATCCATGTATTTTTTCTTAGCTCAACAGTCAACATAAACCGGCCTTCTATCTCTTCTCTATACACGCTTATCCTTGCAGGGGTCGGGGGGGGCTAGTGTTGGTTTATTTATATGCAAATATTTAGTTAATTGCATCTTAGCAAGCTACACTAACTATAGGCCATCAAAACAAGCTGACTGGATAACTGTCTCCTCTCTGGAACAGACACAGCTTTTAAATGTGCTTTATAAATATGGAAGCATGTAAGGGATTTAAAAAACTGCATTAAATATATATATATATATATATATATATATATATA